GAAGAAGTGTTTTAGCTATTTTTTTATTATTATTGTTCGACCCTTTTTCAATTTTGTATGCAACATGTTAGTTTATGCTACTTGATTATTTCAAAGATAGAACCATTCTATGATTTTTTACTTTCTTACAAACATTCGCTATTGGCAAAAGTATTATAGTAGTATACAATTACTATTTGATTAGTTGTGAGTGAGAGGCACGCGTGAGTGGGGAGCGAGTGAGGGAGAAAAAGAGGCGGTGGGCTCAAAATGGGTATGGAATCAGGAGGGGGGCAGAGATACGGTGTCGTATTGATAGGCTACACAGTGCCTAAAGTACCCTAAACACTGCATTGGATTGAAGTTTGTCTCTGTAATCCAACATGCATTCCAATTCCATGCTTCTCAAATTCATTTATTGTTCCTTTTTCCCAATGTTTTTAGTTTATTAACAAAATGTTTAATTTAAGTCTGGTCATTAATTTCATCTGTCAGTCAAACATAAATAAAAACGCACGACAAGTTGTGTTTCGTAGATTTTATGGCTCTCCTTCTTTAATTACTGCGAAAGAGTAAATAAAATAATTTTACATAATTCTGTTTTTTTGTTATTGATAATGCCATCATTACTTCTGCCTTCAGTCTCTTCAAGACTTTTCACCAGTTACACAGACAGACAAGACAGGTCAGCTTTATTAATTTAAATTTAAACGTAATTTAATTAGTATACTCCACTATACTTGTATTTGTTGTTACATTTACAAACAATCTAACAAAACCCCTTCTTCTCATTAACTGCCTTCATTAATAACACTATAACAATTGCTTAGATTCTCAGACATAACGCAAAATCGTTCGTGAAAAATCAAAACATGAGAGTCACATGTTACCAAGAATATACGACTTATTAGACTTGGGAAAAATATGAGACTTCAAGTCGAAATAAAAAAATATCGAGACTGATATACTTGAAAATCACCGTAGTTGTCAACTCGTCAATTTCTACCACGTCGATAAATTTTGTATTCATTTCTATCAATGTTCCCTGATTACATTAAAAACAAAAAACAAAAAGATGTTCCCTGATTATTGAAAAATATCTATATATTTGTGGTTTTGTAATGTGCCACGGAAATTAAAAAGACAGACATATACAGTATATAATAAGTACTAGTAGTTATTGTTTTCAACAAAAAAAAGTATAGTAACTATAAACAAAAATGTGGATAAAACTATGCATACGTACGTTAGGCCGTTAACCGTATTAGTTTATGTGTTCAAATACGCAGATTATCGTGGATCTGAAATTGAACGGTCCAGATCTCGAGAAAATCGTTGTTATTTAAGCATGTGACTTCCATCACGTAATAATACCTCTCTTGATTTTACAGAAGAAAGGAGAAAAGGACCTCTCACTAGTGTCTCCTGCTTCATGTAATCAAGATTTTAAAATTTTGAATACATGAAAAATGAAGGGAGACTCTACCTCGTCATATACTCCCTTTATTTCATTAGTTCAGATTATCATATTATATATGATCATTTGAAACATAGAGAAATCGTAAGTAACCTATTGAGGTTTGTTTTCAGTTTTCAAAATCAAAATATGGAAGATTCGGTAGTGTAATTGGTACTTTACTGGCTTTTGGCACACAATAACCCATGTTAAAATCTCCCATTTTACATCTTGGTATAAATATTTTCATGTTGGAAAAACAAAAATTTATGTATATATCAAAATGTGAAGTTCATGTGTATTACCAAAAGTGATTCAAAATATAAGCTTATTTTGAAGGGACCCCTATTAGAATGAGTAGATTAATTAATAAAAAGTAAATAGTAGCCAAAATGTATACGTTTACTATCATTGTGCATCTACCATTTCACAACATTTCATATAACAGCATCCATCTTCTACGACAATTAGTAAAACTAGATTTTGTTGTTTATCAATTTACTAACATACCAAGTCTTAAATCTAAATTAAGGTGTGAAAAAATCAACCAAATTCCTAGGAGTTTGTAGTTGTATTCGTAACCATGATACTCTTAAGAGTTTTTAAAGTATTGTTTAGTATTAATTTTAATATTAATTTATTGTTGGCTCCATTGATCTGTCTCTAAAATTTCTACGGCATGAGACGATTCAAGCCAAAATCTAACCAAATACTATGTTTTTCTTTATTTCTTTTTTGTTTTAATTTCACGTGACTACTAAAGTCTCGGGGTTAAACATGCTCTAAACAATTTTTTTATAATAATCCGTAGGGAATGTTATATATTCCACGTAACTGAAATTTTTTAGAGCATCTCTAATGGTGAGTTTTTTGGAGAGGTTTTCAC